CATAAAAATTAATATATAATTATATATATATATATATTATATATTATATATATCTATAATATATAAATTAAGTGGATAACCCAACAGCTCTCTCTCACACACACACAAACTTACACACACGCACATACACACGCACACGCACGCACACACATACACAGGCGATCTATTATTTGACGACGGGTTTCTACGTTCTCTGTATTTCGTGAAAAGCTACCTACAACACCCGCTGAATAACAATGTTCTTCTAGTTGGAAGGCGAACAGACGTTCCTCTTTACAGCAACAACACGGTACTACCCTACCAGCAGCCAACCACAACCACCATAACCACTCCGACGACTACCACTACTGCCGATTCACCTGGAAAATTTCCGTTACCTCTTCAAAATACCACTGCGAGTAATAGTAGTAGTAGTAGTAGTAGTAGTAGTAGTAGTAGTAGCAGCAGCAGCGGCGGTGGTAACGTACCAGTAGCAACAACTGCACCACTGGTTACCACAATGAAACCGATTGTTCTGACGTCAGAGATGTTCCAAAAGTTTATCGATTATTTTGCTAAACCGAATCTAGCAAAACTCGCTAGAGGTGGGGTGCTAAGGGGTACCGATACTATAGATTATTTCCTCTTCACTAGAGAGGGCAGTCGGTATAATTGGACCAGGATTGCGAATGTGGTCATCGGCAGGGCGGCTTACGATAATTATCTCATCGCTATGGCAGCAATGACGGGTTAGTGGTTGGTTGGTTGGTTAGTGATTGATTGGTTGGTTGATTGGTTGGTTGGCAAGCTGGCTGGCTGGTTGATTGGTTGGTTGATTGATTGATTGGTTGGTTGGTTGATTGGTGGGTTGGTTGGTTGATTGATTAGTTGATTGGTTGTTGGTTTGTTGCTGGATGCTTAAGTTGATTGGTTGGTTGATTGATTGGTTTGGCTGATTGGTTGATTGATTGGCTGGTTTCTTTGTTGATGGTTGGTTGGTTGGTTGGTGGATTGGTTGGTTGGTTGATTGACTGGTTGGTGAAATTCATATATTTTTCAGCAAAAGAATTTTTTTTAAACAGATCAAATTTGTAGAAAAAAATTAAATAAATTAAAACAAACCTAGACAATTAAATTATCAAAAGATAGATTATTGAGTAATTAAATCTATCAATTTATTCAAAGATAATGACGTCATAACTTGTTTTTTTTAAATTTGTTACATAAAAAAATAATTTTTATCAGCAATTCTTTATAAAATACTACCTGATCAACATCATTTAGGCCAACATTATCACCAAAATCGCTTCACAATAACCATCTCTATCTTCATCTTCATCACCATCTTTATCATCATCATCATCATTTTTTTTATCATCTTCATCATCATCTTCATCGCCATCTTCATCATCATCTTCATCATCATCGCCATCTCCATCATCATCTTTTTCATCATCATCATCTTCATCATCATCTTCATCGCCATCTTCACCGCCATCTTCACCATCATTCTCATCGTCGTCCTCACCATCATTTTTTGTTATATCTTTCACCTTGAAAAAAAAATGTCTACAATCAATACAAGAGTCAAGAAATTTCTAATGCAGCGCGTCCGTCGTAATCTTGGCAAGATGACAGGAAAGCCAGATTAATTGAAAAACATCCAATCAATGAAACCCTATTCAAAGACACATACTTACATATGAATGCGGCGCTACATAAATTGATTGCAGAGTTTTTACGTCACACGTACGCACACAAACACACAGGCACGCACACACACGCGCGCGCGCAAACGTACATATACAGTTATTAAATTTATGTTATAAATATTTTTTTAGGATGTCATATGATTTTGAAATCAATACCGTTTTACTAAACTTCAGCTGACTTTCTGGTGATTAAGTTCAACTAATCACAACCATCATCATCACCACCACATTACCATCATCATTACAATCATCGTCATCATCATCACCACCACCACATCATTATCATCATCATCATTACAATCATCATCACCACATCATCGTCATCATCATCAATACCACATCATCATCATCATCATAATTACAATCATCATCACCACATCATCATCATCATCATCATTACCACATCATCATCATCATCATCATCATCATCATCATCATCATCATCATCATCATCATCATCATCATCATCATTACAACCATCGTCATCATCACTACCACATCATCTTCATCATCATCATCATCGTCGTCACCAGGAAGCATATCAATAGACGTGACCGGCACAGTTGTCTGTGTGCACCTAGCCAAACCAGGTGTCAGAAACACAGGCTTTCAGAACCCGGACAATGACCACAACTTCAAGGCAATTGGTTGGCCAATATGATTAATTTATTAATTTATTCATCCTCTAAAAATTAATTAACATAATTTATTCGGTAACATTCGTGAGGGAGAAAAAAACCGCGATTTTTATCATTCTAAACCTCATTTTTTTATTGATCGGTTCTTTATTTTTCTTGCCGCTTCTGACACTCATTATTACGCACCCGAGTTACAAACTCTACATAAAATGAAATATCTTATAAGCATGGAACGATGGAATCCTAATAAGAGACTAAACCGAATTCTTATAAGCATGGAACGATGGAATCCTAATAAGAGACTAAACCGAATTCAGTTTCGTTTCGTTTCGCCTCGTTTGCATTTTCACGGAGGGTGACACTTTATTCGAGTTATCTAATAAAAAATCATTCAATGAGTTCTTCAGCATTTATCAGTCAGTAGTATCGATAGAGAGAGAAAGAGAATAAAAACGTGTGGAGTGTCATCGCTAAGTTCCAAAGGTTGAGGGCTTGACAGCACTTGAGAAATTTATAACACGAAGCGCTATACCCTTTAGTCATAGAATCATTTTCACATTTTTATAGGTACTAAAAAAAATTTTCTGTTCGGTATCGTTATCGTTAACTTGCATTAATATTATTATTAATCCCGCATTACCGATTCCACATACTAATTATAATAATTTATGTTAATTTGTACAGGCCCTTTCGATTGGGGCAAGGGCCTAACGAGCGTCACCCACTACTACACTCAGAACAACGAAAAGGGCTTTCCGGGTAAATTGATCAGCAGGTATGAAAACCACAAAGTGTTATAAATACTAATTAGTTCACCCGGCCAACTAATTAACATATTTATTCGTAAGTCAGCTGACCTGGGCTAGCTTATTTACATATTTGCATATATAGCTAATTTACATATTTGAACAAATTTGCATATTAAAAAATAATTTGCATTATTTTTTCTTCAATATTTTTTTAAATGTAAGTATATTTTCGGGTTTATTTTGCAATCTTACCTACACCCACGTACACACACACTCACACACACACACACACACACACACACACACACATATATATATATATATATATTTCTATATAAAATAATGAAGATAAACCGATGCACATTTTGCTTAGGTATTTCATTTTATTTATGATTGTCAATCTAAACACCATTTCATCAATCAATTGAACAAACGAACGAACAAACGAACGAGCGAACGAACGAACGAGCGAACGAACTAACAATTATTCAATGAACGAACCAATCAACCAACCAATCAACCAACCAATCAACCATCCACTTGTACGAATATGTATATATCTATAATGTACATTAATACTTATGAGAAAATGAATTAAAACTGATAGAGCACACAACAATATTAATGTTTATAATTTTTATATGGTAATCATTATCAGTGTCTGCACGGTCGTCGTCTTCGTCGTCATCATCCTCTTCACCATGCGTAAGAGAAAAAAGTCTACTGTGGTTTTAAACAAATTTGAAAAAAATCCAAATTTCATCTACTTTATATAAATATTTATAAAATATTTATAGTTACTTTTGTATAAAATATTTATAATTAATTTTGTATAATTATGTATCACAAATACACACACACACTCACACACACACACACACAAACAACTAAATATAAATAATTGTGATGTCATATAATGTAATGTTACACATTCACACACACACACACATTTATATATATATATGTATGTATATATACATATAAATCTGTGTAGTCACACTTAATGATGATGATGGCTTTGTATAAATTATTGAAGTGTAACCAGTGTATTATTATAATTGAGATATGCATTGTTCAGCTTTGTTTCGAAATTATGCATGAGTGTGTGCGCGTGTGTGTGTGTGTGACTGTGTGTGTGTGTGTGTGTGGATAAGAATTTGCCTGTTTGGATTAGTCTTTGTAGGTCAGTGTATGTATATATGTATGTGTATGTAGGAATGTATGTATGTGTGCTGGATTTGTCTTTGTATGTCAGTGTATGTATGTATGTATGTGTATGTAGGAATTATTATTATTATTATTATTATTACAAGTCAATTTGTACAGCGCTAATTACAAAAAAATATCTCAAAAGCGCTCCCTAAAATAAATGAAAAAACCAAATATTAATCAAACGAAGACAAAGACATTGTTAAATCTGCGAAAATAAATGAGTCTTCAGCTCCTTTTTAAATAAAAACAATGACATATCTGGTCTTCTTAGAGACGCCGGTAGACTGTTCCAAACCACCGGTCCAGCAACAGCAATATTGCGTGATCCGGTCTGTAAATTCGTTGTCGGCACAACCAGGAGGTTCATGTCATTTGATCTCAACTGCGAACCCAACACAGATGTTTTTCTGATGAACATGTCTGCCAAATACTGTGGTGCTAAACCATGTAATGACCGAAACGTTAAGACAGCAATTCTAAAAAATATTCTTTTTCAATTTTTAGCCGGTGTAGGTCATTCAAGATTGGAGTCACGTGATCGAACTTCAGATTTTATGTGAAAAATTTTGCAGCTCGATTTTGAATAGACTGAAGTACAGCTATTGACTTGATGTATGTATTAAAATGTGTTAAAATGCAGGAATGTATGTATGTATGTATGTGCGTGTGTGTGTGTGCGTGTGTGTGTGTGCATGAGGTTATATTGTGCGGCTATAGTTGCAGTTGTTATTGCTTTAATTTCATTGAAAGACCAATGTATGTCATTTTATATTATCATTATATAATATTAGTTACCATTGTTATTAGAGTTGTAGTAGTAGTAGTAAAAAAGTATTAGTAGTAGTCGTAGTTGGTGTAGTAGTAGCAGTAGTGGTAGTTGGTGTAGTAGCAGCAGCAGTGGTAGTAGCAGTAGTAGCAGCAGCAAGTAAAGACAATGTTTAGAGTGGTTGCTATTTACTTCAAAGCCTAACAAAGTGTTTTCCCTTGTTAAACAAATCTAAAGAAAAATTCTTCACTGCATAAATTTTATTAGATTATATTGCTAATTTTAATATACTTAATTTAGATTCTATTAGTAGTAGTAGTAGTAGTAGTAGTAGTAGTAGTAGTACGAGAAGTAGTAGTTGTAGTATAAGTAGTAGCTACAGAGCGTCATTAGTGGTAGGAAAAGTAAAGTTGTAGTTGTCGTGGTGGTGGTAGTAGTAGTCGTAGTTTTAGTAGTATTAGCACCAGTTGTTGTCGTTATGTTAGATGAACTTTTTTTCTCTGTCGAAACTAATTATGTAATTTTCTCTGTAATACGTATTTAAATACGCGAGCAAAAATTTTTTCCACTCACACACCC